TGAGCATCTCCTGTTTCCTAGTGAACCTTGGGCTCGGGGAAGCGGTGCAGATGGTGTACTGGCTGGACCCCGTGCTGAGGCGGAAGCTGTCACGCTGCGAGGTGGAGCCATCGCCATCATCCAGCCTGGTGTACGAAGGCAGGAGCCTGGCAGTGCCCAGGCCAGCGGCCCTGCCTCCATCGCAGCAGAACGTGATGGAGAACATGAGCACACCCCTGTTCGTCTCCAAGTGTGTCCAGGTGGAGCCCGATGGATGCCAGCGTTTCTGGAACCAGGTGGTGATCCCRGGAGGCCCTGAGCCCATCGCTGGGTTCGTGTGGGTCCCGCAGGGCAGCCAGGGCCAGAGACAGGACSAGGAGGCCAAGGTGGCAGAGGCCCTGCACTTTCTCCAGCTGCCAGGTGAGTCCTTGAATTTGTGCCAACTCCCTGCCTTTCCCAAAGTCTTGAAATGTCTTCTGGTAGGGTGGAGCTGTGGCACTTCTGGGGTGGGGTGGCGTGGGGTGGGGCAGGGAAGGAGCCAGCCTGTGGGGCAAGGCTGAAACGCTGCTACCRCTGAGCTCTGGATAGGATTCATGGTTGGAAGCACAGGATGCAGGAGATGGGGCTTTGGGGGTGAGGGCAGAGCCTGACCCKTCCCTCTGCACTGCAGGGTGCCAGCAGATATAGGCAGCGCTGTGCCGGAGCCACCATGGAGCCTGAGCCGCCAGCCATGATGTTGCCAGCAGCACAGGAGCCCTGCTGGGCTCCCAGCCCTGTTCCAGCTTCTSTTTGCGTTGTTTGCGCTGTTTTTGAGAGCTGCCTCTGCAGGAGAAGGGTTGYTGTCCTGGTCCACAGCAGCTCCCTGTCCCCAGATGGCCCTCGAGTTAGTTCTGGTTTTGGGTTGTTGGTTTTCCTGACAAGTTTGGCTTAAGTTGGTTTGTGTGGCATTAGAGGAGCAGGCCCTGGAGAGGCAGCAGCTCTGGGAGGGGCTGCCAGCATGGAATGCCAGTGTGGAATGGAGGAAACTCTGCTGGCATTCCTGGGTTCTGAGGAGCAGCTCAGGTGAGGACAAGGCCACCCACGGGAAGTGGCCCAGGGTGACAGATATTCTCTGGGCTGGTGGAGCTGCTGTGTGAGGAGTGCCTGGAGCCTGTTTGGTATTGCACAGTGAGGAAGCACCTGTGGGATTCCCWGCTGTCCATGGATGATTCCTCAGGAGTGGGACTTCTGGCCACTTTGTTCTGTTGGGATTAAAGAGTTCTGGAAAACACCAGCTGTGCCACATCRTCTTTTCCTCAGCTCCCTGCCTGTGCAGTGCATCTGAGTGCTCTCCCACACACCAGGAAAGGCAGGGGAAGGGACACGGTGGGATTTGGAGCCTTCACAGCCTGGTGGGCCCCTTGTGTGGGAAGCACCATTCCTTGGCACCTCRGTCTTTGTGTCTTCTTCCACTCACTGGGCTCTTTCCAACCAGCTTTTGATATGCCTCAGGCTCCTCACCAGCGCTTCCTGGTGATGTGGTCTTTGGATGGACCTCTGGGACMTCTGGTAGCACCTTTGTGCTCTCCAGGTATCTCTCAATTTCAGTCATGGCCCAGCTCCAGTAATGCCTCTGGCCACCTCCAGTCCCATCCCTGCATGAACCCCTGGGCCACCAACACCTGGGAGCTCCAAGGTGGTCCAAGGGGTCCTGAAGAACACCAGGAATGCACTGTGGGATGTGAGCCACAGCCAGGAGCACAAATCCCGGCAGAACTGAACCAGATCCTCCCAGTTCTCCAGAGGTGCACGAGGTAGCACAGGAGCCTCGGCTGCAGTGTCTGGCTGTATCTGACACTGTTCCATGCCCAGCATCTGCTGCTCACTCAGCTCATCCCCAGGCAGGGACCCATCCCAGAGGGATCCCAGTCCCTCTCCCTGTCCCAGCTCATGGCACATTGGGATGCACATCTGGACCCACCAAATCCCTTTGGTAGCACCTAAGTCCCATCCTTCTTGCTTATAGAGATCCCCAGGATTCTCCAAGAGCCTTTCAGTGCATCCATGAGGTTCATTTCTGCATTCCCAGGAAATCTGTCTGTCCCTCCTGGGGGACACAAGGAGTCCTTGCCCCATGAGGATGAGGCAAACCACCAGCACAAGGCACTGGAAAGTGAAAGGCACTGGGTTTATCTCTAACAGAGCTTAAGTCTTAATTAACAAAGGGCAACGGACCTGCTGGGACAGCAGGACAGGAAAGCACTGAACCCATGTGCCCTGGCCAGGCACCCCAAGACCCACCGTCACACCCCCATCCCAGAACTCCCAAATACACCAGCAAACTCCAGCATTATCCCCTCCCCTCCCAGTGCTCCATCCCCACCAGACCCCCCAGCCATACCCCCCCGATATCAGAGCACCCCTCCCGGTGTCCCAGAGCCACTCCCCATCCATCACGAACCCC